CTGTCTGTTACCGTATCACAGAAAAACAACTGGAGGGATTGTGATGAAATTTCGTATGATGATAGCTGGTTATCCGGGTCAACATATAGAATACTTTTTGCACTGCACTTAAGAGTATACTAATCTGTAAAGCCTAAGAATTTGGTTTTTGGTCATCTGAACACGGGCGGAGCCGCGGGCAATGCTAGTATTAAATATGTACATAGATATGATGAGTTGTTGTGCGTTGTATTAAAACGTGTTTTCTCGTGAGAATGAGATAATCTCCCGCGGTAAGTAGCCTATATCACTCTCCAGCATCCAACTATCTTCACACAAAAAATCACGCCAATCCGTCGCTATGTTATCACGTAATAGAAGGACAAACAAACAAACACACTTTCCTATTTATAATATTAAGTATAGATAGATATAGGGAAGAAAACCTTAATCTAAAAACGAAATTTGATATTAAAAGTATTTTTGATAAGGGATAGTTTTTTGGACTGACAGTTATTATAATGAACTAATTTAAATATGTTTTTTTTTATTTTATAAGTGCAACGATATGAGTAGCTTTTATCGCGATTAATGGAAAGCATTAAGGCAAAATGGCCTCTACTCAAAGTAAACTCATAACTCGCGTACACGTCGTATTAAAATATCAACATAATAAAGAAATAACGTGATGCGTTGAAAATATTTATATAGACATATTTATACAGGGTTCTGCTCACGTCCTCATATAGTAGTTTATTTATGTATAGTTTCTACTCTTCTAACGGTTTTAGCGCGATGTTAGATAGCCCATATTATAATAGGCAGTTAAATGAAAAAGGAAATTTTCAAATCAGACTGGCATCTCTATAGATTAAGATTAAGAAAATAAACGAAATATTTAAAAAAAAAAAAAACAGAACTAACTTCTGACTTAACTAGACCTTTTAAAGACTATAAGTTTTTGTATGAATATATTTTTGAGTCATTTTTTTATCTACACTATATACACTACTACTGTAAAGACGAAAGATTTATGTTTTTGTATGTTTGTAACGAATAAACTCAAAAACTACTGAACCAATTTAAATGAAATTTAGTAAGAAGATACGTAGTTTGGGACCTTTGGAAGGACTTTAGAAGATCCCTTACAGGGGTGAAAATGGGGATGAAAGTTTGTATGGGGAAACAACCTAGGGACAAACCCAAGCGAAGCGAGGGTGAGTCGCTAGTTTTAAAATATTACAAATCTTCAACACCAAATAAGTTAATAATATGTAGCTTAGTAGTATATTTATAAAATCGCACAAAAGAAGAGATTAGTAAACTTTAAGAAATGAATTAACAATATCTGTACAAGGTGCAAAAGATCTTAAATTTTGATAGAAACTAAATTCTCACGGAGCAGCAAAAAATGCACAAAGGCGACCACACCTACAAAAACTTCAATAGCCTTACGTTGGAAATGTAACACGATATATACAAAGAGTAGACGAGTGCCAGTCAAGAGGTTCCCAAACAAGATAATCCCTTTGTTAGTCGAGTTATAATAGTGTCTCCGGGGAATTTACCATTATTTTCTATTTCACAGCAGCTGTGGTGTTTCGTATTTCGACATAAATGCTAGATACAATTTTAGTTCTTGTATCACTGAAGAACATATAAATATATAAGAATTGTTATATCCATTTCCTTAATATACGTCGTTGTCTGCATTAATAATATAATAAAATTTTATAATTCCATTACATTTTATGTGGTTACATGGTTTCTGTTGATAGTAAATTTTGATGTCCTGTCGCGCTGTGGTAGAGAAACTAAAAGAAGGTCGTAAGTTCGATATTGACTAGATGATATTACTTTTTGTGTTTAAGAAACGCATTGGGTCAAATTTGAATGGAATATTATGTTTATTAATATTTACCCATAATATGTACCTAGACTAATGTTATAAATGTAAAACCTTGTATGTGTATGTTAGTTGTTTCTTCATAATGATAGGGCTGGACCGATTTAGTTAAGAATTCGTACAAATTAAGACAATAGGCTACTGTTAGTAATAAAACAATACGATAGATGGCGCTATCTGTGTATAATATTAAAAATACAAAAGGCATCTAGTGATGTACCTCAGAGATATTGTAGCTCGCTTGCTTAAAAATATATGGAATTTTATATTTGATCAGAGATCAGCCCATTTATATTTTAGCATTTCTACACAACGTTTTAAATTATTCAGTAGCAAGAAAAGTTTTAAACGAAAAAAAACAATAAAATTCATAATTTTTTTTATAATAATTCGTAGAAACATATCGTATACCTTCTAAATTATAGAAGTAATGATTACCATAGCTAATTTTCACTTATCTTGATTGTTAAGCTTTTATTGGACAGTCATGTTCGAAAGTAGCCTCCAGGTAGTCACGATTAAATGACAATTTTGCGAGAGCATCTCCCATCGCTTTCTAAATGCCTTTTTTGGTTCTTTATGTTACTTGCGGCCTTTCTATGAACTGTACATACTCATATATGTACTTTGAATATGAGATGTTTAACTAAGAATACTTATAATAATATTGAAATTACTTTATCTAGTGTAAAACAATCAACCAGTATTATATCTCAGTGTTAAGTAAAATTTATTTTATTCTTACATATACTATTTGTTCGCAAATAATTATTTGGTTCTAAATAAAATAATAAAAGAGACTTGATGGTACTGGTTGGTATCGGTTAAAAAAATCTATACTATTAAACTTTAAGCTTTACAATTTTGACTTAATTTACTTGAATATTTCTACAGCTTAGATGCGATTACGTCTATATTGTTGATGGTATTAATATTAATAAGATGAACAATGTTCAATTAAGTACATTATAGCGTAAAACTTTAAAAAGCAACTGTTACACAAATATTTACCACAGAATCGAACAAATCATGCTGTAGAAGTAGCAGATCATCGATAGTACGTAAAAACTCAGTTTAAGTATTAAGGTCAAAAAAAAAAAAGAAATTGTTAAAGAAAATCTTTCTTTAGTAACAGCACGTTCCAAAGCTTTTTGCTCCCCTTTAGATTGTCCCTCGTTTTTTTTTGCCTGCTTCTTATCGTACACGAGATTAGGTGCTAAGTTTTTAAGTGAAATTTCGGCATATTTAATTTTTTTCTTTAAATTTATAGAAGAGTATGAAAGAAATAAGCTCCAAGCTTTTTTGAATTGGGCAAGCTTTAATAAAGAAGATCTCGTTTCCACATAATTACGTACGTCTTGTAATTTACCAAATGATAATCCATATTACTATACAAATTCACGTTGTAGGTGGATTGGAACAAAATGCCCAAGGGCTCAAGTTAGCCAACGTATTAAAATGAATTTATGAATATACCTAACCTGTTGTTGCGGTTATATCATAAGTATCGGTTGCTTGGGATTATACTTGATTTTGATAAAAAATATTATTTGCCTTTAGTATAGATTTCTCAGATTGCGGTGAGTGTAGATACCTACTATTACATTTGGTTTGGCACCGACTTCAAACCTATCAATAGGTAGTACATATATTAAAAAGATCCCGGTACTTTCCGTTATACGCAGTATATGGTAACAGAGGGGGTTTCAGTAGGTAAAAATCCTACATATCCAAACCATCTCGTACGTTGGTTGGATATCTTTAGAAGATTACCCTCTCGTTAAATAAAAAAAAGGTAACACATACAAATAATAGTATTTTATTAATATTAAAGGTATTAGGTTTTTATAAGAGGTGTATTAAATGAAATCCTTATTAAGTTATTTTATACTTTTTAGTTTATGAAGTTGGTTTTTTTAAACATAGTTTTAATGTTCCACTGCTGGGCACGAGCCTTCCTTCAATACGAGAGGGATCAGGCCATAGTCCAGCACGCTGGCCAAGGGCGAATTGGCAGACTTCACATGTCTTTTAACTGTACAGTCTAAATTTATTTAATTTGTTATAATTTCATTAAGATTTAAATGAAGGTATATATTAACAATTCGACAACAAATAGGCCATCCGATATAAGTTAGTTAGCTACCGCTAATGAACTGTACATAAGTAGGAGGTATAATTTTAGTACTAAAATAAAGCGGTTGGTCGACTAAAGTTATATCTAGGCTAAGCCATTAGTTTCGTATTACACTCTCGTCTATGTAACAAATATAAGAGTAAAATAACTCAAAAGTGCTTGTATTATACTAACAAATGAAAGCGTTTCCTTACAATTTTGCTATACTAGTTTGTCCTGCGGTTTTACTCGCCCGGACTGTAATCCTTTGCGTAGTAATAAGAGAGAATGTAGTGATTAATAATGAATAGAATCTGTGAAATGATTTCATCTATACTAATATAATAGAGGTAAAATTTGTGAGTTTGTAACGTTATAGGAGGTAATCTCTGGATTTACTGAGCCGATTTAGATGAAATTTGGTAAGAAGATAGTTTGAGACCCTGGAAAAGACATAGGATACTTTTTATTCCGGAAAGTATCCCTTAAGGGGGTAAAAATGGGGATTAAAGTTTGTATTGGGAAGCAAGCTTGGGACAAACCCGAGCGAAGCGAGGGTGAGTCGCTAGTATGTGAATAAATGTATATAGCCATTTATGTGTCTGTAACTTAATAAAATCACAGAGTCCTCCTGACTGATTTTGGCCACGGCGGCCGATCTCTATGAAACTAGCCAACTGCGCAGGAGATATTATTGTGCATAAGCAGATATGTGCGTAAATACAAGTGCACCCTTCTTTTTTCTTTTCACTCCCAAACTCTAATGCGACGACACTACAAGAACGGTGAAATATCAGGGACAGAGCCGGTTAATATACATGCTAATAGAAGCCAGGAATCTAACACCGCTAACTTGTCAACTTCAAAGTCTTAGACCGACTCGGGAATCGAAGCCTTATCCTCTGGATCTGCAGCCTTACATGCTAGCCACTACACCATTGGTTAATTGAATGTGTATGTACATATTAAGGTATAGTAAATAATTTGACAATGTCTCACCATGTTTATCCGCGGCGACGGCGACCACCCATAGCAAGAGGAGCACGCTCCCGCGCCCCATCTTACATACGAGCGCGCATCACCTAAAACAATAAAAATGTTTGTATAGAAAGCTGACTAATATTTGATCTCATATATTTACATTCGCTAGAACAAAGAATTTGGAGTACGGCTTTTAAAATTTTCACATAACATGGTCTTTAAATTTTTAATGAGGAAGAAATTATATTTAAAATTTATTTTGTTACTGTTTTCGTGTTAACGAACGAAAAGCTACACGCGATTTTCGTTCGGGTTTTGTTCATTATATTATGATAATAGCGACTCACGCTCGCTTCGCTCGGGTTCATCCCTAGATACGTTTTAAATTAAAAATGGATATTGTATGTTATCCTTAAGAGATAGACATATGCCATCGCAGACTTTTCTGTAGACCTATATAAGATACACAATTCCACCATATATTATTTTGTTATAGTAGGGGAGCCCAAGAGGGGATTTTCTGTAGTTACTCGAGCGCGGCAGATTAATATACAGGGGGATACCTTGTACCTGGTTAAGTACCTCCACAAAACATGAGGCCCATATATAAGGCCGCCCGTGAAGGACACAGGATCAGATTAGTAAAAAAAAATTGACCACCAGAAATTCTCGAGCGCGTCAGATTAAGGTAGGGTGAGTTAATTACATCCTAAAAAGTGTATATTCCACTAATCTGACAATTTGAGAGTGACGTAAAAAAAGGGGAGGGCAACAAAGTTGTAAAAAAAAAACGTCATCTCGACATTCTCGAGCGTAGCTAAATTTTTTTTTATTTTGAAGGAAATAATGCAAGAATAATGAAAAATATATAATCTGACGATTTCCGCAAGCCGAAATAACAAAAATTCGTCGATAAAGTTAAATGCGTGCAGCTGCGTGATGCCTACATTTCCTTCTCCGCGTTTCTATTCCTCTCTCACTCTTTATCTATTACTCTCTCACTCCGTCCCCACTCTGGTTTCTGCCGCCATGACACCATCACAGCTGATCATAAAGAGTCTAGGGGTGTGCGAACATCCTTCGAATCGAATCGAATATCAATATTCGATTCGAAATTCGAAAAATTTCGAATAATTCGTAAAAATTTCGAATAATTCGAAAGTTTTCGAATAATTCGCGAATTAATGAAATATCTCTGGATCTTCAATTATATCCATTTAAATTCCTTCAAATCGTGTGTCAAAATAGTTTACTTACGAATAATATACTTTTCGTTTAAAAATAAATTACCCAGAGAAAACAATTGCTCATTTTTTAAATTTGCAATATATGTTCGAATTATTCGAAATTTTTCGAATTATTCGGGAACTTTCAAATAATTCGAATTTTCGAATTATTCGATTCGAGTTTCGAATCGAATATTAATATTCGATTCGGAACGAATAATTCGTAAGTTGAATTAAATTTATTAATTAAGTTTAATTCAAATGCATAGAAATATTATTTCTTTGAACTCTGCGAGCTCAAAATATCACATAAATTATATTTTGAGCTCAAAATGCCATAAGTACAATTTTAAGCGCACAGGAATGGAATTAGCGGGAAGTTGCAGGTATGGCCTTTAAGGTGAACCGTTTTTCTAATTTTTTTTTGTCAGATCAGGCGAATCCCTCTAGATAATCGTCAGATTATGAGACAGTACGTTTAGAACATAAAGATGAACCATATATATCTTAATCTGACGCGCTTGAGTATTTCAAAATGGCGATTTTTTTTTTGCACATTATGAAAATGGCCGCGAGTTTGCGTCCCATCAAAATCGTCAGATTAGTGAATGAGAGCTTTTTTTTGGTGCACTTAACAATCCCTTAGAAAGTCTGACGCGCTCGATTAAATTATTTTTTTTTCATTTTCAACCCTTAAATACAACCACCCGCATCATGCAAACGATCAGATTAACATACGTACATTATTAAAAATACGTAGGGCATTTATGCTATCAATATCTGACGCGCTCGAGGATGTCTATGCAACAGTATTTTTTTACATATTTAAAAATCTATAGCCGCTTCCCCCACCGATGTAAAGGTATATATCATATAACATTTTTTTCTTCTTATCATCTAAGCTTTGCATCCCAATAGGTCTCTACGACGCTCGAGTAAATCCCCATTTAGCTTCGTGGGCTCCCCTACCATTATATCTCAAAGGGTTTAGTCAGCGCTTTCGTTGAAAGCTCCCAGACGTCTTATTTTTTTCTGACACCTCCAACAAATATCGTTATATTTTAGCCAATGTATACAAAAGCTTAACAAATTATATACTAAAACCTTCCTCTTAAATCACTCTATCTATTAAAAAAACCGCATCAAAATCCGTTGCGTAGTTTTAAAGATTTAAGCATACATAGGGATATAGGGACAGAGAAAGCGACTTTGTTTTATACTATGTAGTGATAATGAACATAAAACTATATTATGATATATAAAACAAATTCGGGTTAGTTACACCATCTAGGTATAATTCAAGCACGGCTGGGCCGATTTTCATAACCTTTGATTTGTTAGATTTGTCTAGATTCCGAATTGAAAATTCACAAAAAAAATTACATGGTTAACGCTGGCTAATAACTATTTGTATGTATTAAAAATGTACGTAGAGATGAACCCGAGATGTGTATATGTCATAAGTTTGACAATATGTCTATCTGTCGACCCGTAACTCCTCAACAGGTAAACGGATAAAAAAACTTAATTTTTATTGTTAGCAGTGATTCTTATATAGATTTTATAAAAAAACATGAAAATGAGACCTTATTTTAATTAATTATTATTTTTTCAAAGGTTTTTTTTCAAAGAAACCTTTTTGTGCGTGGATGAGTCGAAGATTTTGCTTGAACAATAATATTTAATTATTATTTATGAAACATAATTCTGAAGACTTGTTCTCTCTTCGAAATTAATTATTTCTTACAAAATACATCACTTTTTATCGTTTTATTTTTTTAAATATATAAATAGAAACATAGCGTGTAGACAAAAATAATTCTCTACAATTTTTTGTTACAGGTATAAAATATTCAACTTTATCTTAATAAAAAACCTTTATTTTGAGTTAGTCAGTCAGTCTAGTCATTTTGTCGACTAGAAATATACCTTTTATTAGTATACAGTATTTTTTTTGAGTAATAACTTCATATTCATACTATTTACAGATAGCCTCCTATTATAGTAATACGAACAGTTTTGTGGCATCGCAGCGGAACGAATTGGTCCCTTTAGATTTTAGGGGAAAAAAATAAACGATGTGGTCTCGGAATGTGAGACCACTTTTAAGGTTGAGTACAAAACAATAGAAGAAACTAACGCTTAAGTATGACGGGAGGGATCAAAACGATGGTATGCTTGAATATATTTAAACGTAAGCTAACTCTTGGTTTATTAATTACAATTTTTATGTCAAAAATACATCATTTATGTTTGATTTTTATTGAAAAGCACAAACAGATCTATCCCACGGAAACCGTTCATTTTGCCGGGATAAAAAGTTAACTGTTATTTGAACGGAAATATATGGTATCAGCACGCCAAAATTTACTAAATTAGGTGCATAAGTTGCTGTATAAGTTACTATATATTTTTAACTATCCCACGGGAACTCTTAAATTTCCGGAATGAAAAGTATCAAAAATGTTGATCGGGGATATAAGGTACCAACATGCAAAAATTCATTTAAGTCGGTTTAATGGTTTCGGAGATTAGCCCGTACAAACAGACAAACAGACACCGAAACAAAAAAATGAAAAAAAAACTGGTTTTGTTCTATTTCTCTTTTTATATCTCCTTGACTAATTTTTAGCAAGTTTTTTCTATATACAGACATTCGACCTCTACAGTTTTATTATATGTATAGATATGACAGATGGTGTATTTTGTAAAACTTTGTAGCTGGATAAGTGTAATTTTCTTCAAAGATCACATATATACTTTAGAAGTTTTAATTTTAAGCTAATCAAAATAAAAACAGCGTTCGACATCATCGAAGATGTAAGCAGCCCAAAAAAACTTAAACTAAAAAGAAACATATTCCCATACCGTAATTTTCTTAATAACCTATAAGATTATTGTCCTCTTAAATTTTATCCAAAAATCTGTTCACCAAAGAATGTACGTGGGCGGTCGTGCAGCAAACATCAGATAAAGCGTATAATACAGTAGCACCTAGTACCATTCATAATTATACTGAGATAAAGTCGTTGATAACACAGTTAAAGACATTTTTACATTTACATTACAACTATTAACGCTTTATATTTTAAGGAAATAATAAATTAAAATAAAGTTCTATTTGTCCTAAAATATTGCCGTGACTAAATTAACCATATATCACGAGTTCGATTTCTGCGCAAGGTTATTGTATGTATTGTTTTTATTGATAATAATGTGATGATGACCGATTGCGGCAACCACGGTCAATCACATCTCAATGAGACTAGCCAATTACTGCGCAGGGTATAATATTAGGTATAATGCACAAGTACACGCGCAGACTGCACTTTCTATTCCTATTACTCTCATACTCAGATGAAACGACAATTCAACACGACCTGTGAGTTTAGCCGTAGAACCCACGCTTTACGTGCTTTCCGAGGGGCTGGGTAAAACACCGCTAATACCGGGCTGTTACTGAGACTTTCTAAACGGAAAGACTCAATAAACAAACTTGACTCGACCCGGGACTCGAACCCATGGCCTCCGCATCTGCAGCCGTACATACTAGCGACTACACCACCGATGCAATACTAATTAATGTAGTGGCCTTAAAATATTCAATTTTTATAAGTCCAATAGCTAAGCTTTTACGCAGCAATAGATTAGATATAGTATAAGAGAGAGATATTAGAAATTCAGATTATTTCCATATATTAAATAGATCCACGAGGTTTGTTAGACTGACGCAAAAAGGTTTTTGAGAACTTACTGAATCCGTCGCTTCGAAGGCATATCACTAGTTACAATATTTTCTGAATAATTTAATGATTATAATATATATATATTAAAGGTTATTTATTCATTCATT